GTGTGTGTGTGTGTGTGTGTGTGTGTGTGTGTGTATGTGTGTGTGTGTGTACGTGGGGACCAGAGGTCAACCTCAGGTGTTATCTCTCAGGGGCTAGCTATCTTGTTTTTGAGATAGAGCCTGGGCTATCCTGGCTGGGCAAGGGACTCCAGGAACCCCCGTCTTACCTCCCAGCACTGGTATGGCATGAACCACCTGACTGTAATTTTTATGTGGGTGCTGGGGATACTGCATCTGCTCTAACAACCGACCGACCGATCTCCCTGCTCCCCGCCCCGGGTATCTGATTGGGATTGCATTGACTACGCATATGGAGGACTTTAAGGAGAAATGATGTGTTTGTAACAGTACCCCGCTTTATAATATTCTGTTCCTGTCACGTGGTCCTGTGTGGCATGGAAGTTTATCTGTCTGCGTCGAGGCCCTTTGAGTTTTTGTTACTACCTCAGTGTCTTTTACTTTTACTCCTCGAGCAAGTGTTACCTGTTATTTTTAGTGTGTTTTCTAGGTGGCTATTACTGGTGCAGAGAGCTGCTATTGATTTTTTCATGAATTCATCTCCTCCACCCCCCTCCTCTTCCACCTCATCCTCCTCAGTTCTCCGTGTGACAGGGGCTGACATAGTTCAGGTTGGCCTTGACTTGAAGTGTAGCCAAGGCTGACCTTGAGTTCTCATCCTCCAGTCTCTGTCCCCCAAGTCTGGCTCATAGTATGCACCAACGCATTTGCTTATCAGTAAGATTTTCATACGATTTTCCCTTCTTGTAATCTTCCAGATCTTAATCACTGTGTACTTACACACACAGACAGACAGACACACACACAGAGACAGACAGACAGACAGACAGACACACACACACACACACACACACACACACACACACACGGTCACAGCTGGCTAACATTTCCGTCAAAGTTTTGAATCTATCTTCCCAAGTGAAATGCCTTTCCTCTTCCATCCTAACATTGCTGTTACGAGATTTTGAGACCAAAATCACCCTGTTGATGAGTGGTGTGAGCACGGCTGGCCGTCCTCTGAGAGCTGTTGAGAGCTTGGCCTTGAGAGTGGCAGGGTCAGGAAAGCATAGTTGTCCCTGTTGTCTGTATCTCTTCCCAATCTCCCTCTAGCCAGAGCTGGCCACAGGCTGACTGTCTCCCTGGTTGGCCTTCACAGCCCTTCCATCTCTGCCTTCACTTTATCATCCACACATCACCACCCTGGATGTTGTCATTAAATCATTATTTTTCAATCTCCCCTCCCCCCTTTCCCTTCCTCTCGCAACCACCTGTGACTTTAGCTTTGGGGAATCCAGGCCGCCCTTTTCTTGTCTCTGTGGGCACCTGCACACACATGGCACACACGTGCATAGACACACGGCAGATAGTCCCTTCCTGGTAGACCTGTTTGATCCTCACAGACTTAGTTTTAGGCCTTGTCCAAGTCCGTCTGTGTTTAGCTTTCCTGAGATCTAGAACAAATTGTCCTAAACTGGGACCTGCAGCCCCATTTGGGTTCACGTTACTGAATGTGGGACTGAGAAAAAGGTATCTCAGTATAACATTTTTAGATGGCTTTACATTGCCCTGGATGAACGGATCCCTGCTTGTTTTTAATAGAGAATGTTATTCCTTTATAATGAGCGGACCACGCTTCCATGCTTCTGAACTGGGCAGTTCTCAGTGTTGTCCCTGAATACACTAATAAGAATAAGGAGCCTTTGAACACCCTTGCACAAGCCTTCCTGTGGACTCCATGTATCCTCATTTATCCCATGTGATTGTGGTCATAAGTCTAATAAATGTTGCTTTTATTTTTGTTTTTGGCTCAACTCAAGTGTGCTATATTTTTTATTTATAGCCTTTCTTCTATTTACTTTGAATTTGTCATTTACTTTGCTATTCTCTCTCTCTCCCTCTCTCTCTCTCTCTCTCTCTCTCTCTCTCTCTCTCTCTCGTGCGTATTCTCGTGCGTACACATGCCATGGTGCATGTACAGAGGTCAGAGTACATTTGAGGGAGTGAGTTCTCTTCTTCCACCTTGTTTGGGTAGAGTTTCTCTTGTTTTCCTGATCTCTGTGTACTTCAGGATAGCTAGCTTCATAGCTTCCAGGCAATTCTTCTGTCTCTACCTCTCGATAACCAGGGGAGCGTGAGGATTACAGAGGAATTCCATACCACATCTGACTTTATGTGTGGATTCCCAGGAGCCAGTTTAAGTCATCAGGCTTGCATTGCAAAGTGTCTTCACTTGTGGAGTCACCTGACTGGGCACATCTATCATCTATCTATCTATCTATCTATCTATCTATCTATCTATCTATCTATCTATCTTATATAATATATATATTATATAAAATATATAGATATATAGATATGGATATGGATATAGATAGAGATAGAGATAGAGATAGAGATAGAGATAGAGATAGAGATAGAGATAGAGATAGAGATAGAGATATAGATATTACCTTGAGGTTAAGCTCAGGTCCTCATGCTCTCATGGCAAGCACTTTACCAACAAAGATATTTTCCTTAGATTCTACAAAGTTTGGATCTATATGCTTGAATCATTGATTTTCATCTCAGTTTCTTCTTCTTCTTCTTCTTCTTCTTCTTCTTCTTCTTCTTCTTCTTCTTCTTCTTCTTCTTCTTCTTCTTCGGTACAGTTTTACTCTGTAACTTGGGATGGCCTGCAACTCATAGCAATCCTCCTGTCTCATCCTGAATACCATGAATGGCATGAATCATTGTATCTGAGGACCTATCTTCTTTTTTGGTAGATGAATTTAAAGGCTATGGAATTCTCTCTGGGCACAGCTTTAGGCATACTCAGCAGACCTTGATAGTCTGTTCTTCAGTATTACTCAGTTCAAAATTTACCTTGTAATTTTTCTTCTCTGACCTGTGGGCTCATTGCAAGTGTATTGTTTTTGCTTCCAAACACTTAGGTTTTTCTAAACATTTTTATTTCAATTTTAACTTATTACCATTGTGGCTAGATCTGTTTTATGTACCAGCATCTGGTATATCCTGGCAACCACAGACTAGGCTTTTGAAAAAATGTGTATTCTACAATCTCTGTATAGTGTTCTATAAATATTAATTAGATCAAATTGGTTGATAGTGGCTTCTGAATCTTTTATATCTACTTGTGCCATTTGCTGAAAAAGAATGTGCATATCTTCAACTATGGTTGTGCTGTTCCTTCCTGTAGTTATGATTTTTTATTTACTGATTTACTTTGCTCAAGTATTTAACAGCTATTTTGAAGTAATGCAATGTATTTTGTATTGTCCTGTCTTCTGGATGAACTAATATTCTCATCATGACATTTCTGATTTTCTCATCCTTCCCTTGCCCTTTTACTATAACCCAGTTCAGGCTTTTGTACTCAGGGTAGCGTTTCTGACAGCATGTTACTGGGTTTTTGTTTTATTTGCTTTGATCACCCAGTCTGAAAAGTCTGCCCTTAGTCAAGGCAAACTTTTCCTTCTGGCACCCATGCTGTTCTGTGAGGTCGCTCTACAGGCTTCTCCTTGAGGTGTGTCCTCCACAGTTGTCTGCAGGTTTGTCCTTTGGATATGCCCTCCACATCTGTCTATAGGCTTCTCCTTGGGGTGTTTCTTCCACATTTGTCTGCCTATCCTGCCATGATAGAAAAAGATGTCTCCAGCTCCCCATCTGATAACAAAATGAAACAAAACCCTCAATGCTGTGAGCATCCTTATACAGGTGGCCCTATCTGGGGACAAATCCTTATGGGACACCAACCAAAGTGGCATTGCTGGCTCGCATTGGCTCGCCAAGGCTTCCTTTGATAGGTAGCCAGATTTAACAGTGTCCAGGTCTTGGGTAGGGGTTAGTGGTAGAGTGATTGTCCAGCCTGCATGAAACGCTGCATTTAAATTCAACATCACAAACATTTTTAAAGCCCAGTATGTCCATATGAAGATAGGAATTACCAGAGAGAACAGAAAGACACAGAGAAAAGAATTAGAAGGAGTCCCCCGGGCTTGAACCGCCCACCTGGGAGGGTTCACCTTCAGTAGGAACAGTGGCATCATATCATGGAGTAGGAGGGGAAGCACACAGGTAGGTGATCTGGAAGTGTTTCAGGGAATTTCCCTCTGGTGCAACTTCTAAATGAAGCAGGAACATAGAACCAGAAATGTAAGAGAATGAAGAGATAGTGTCTTCACCCAGGAACCAGGATAGGTGCTTGGCCAGGGTATGCCTCTGGTGCCAGGCGGACATGGCGGTACATTCTCTGACTTACCTTGTTGATAGAGACATGATTATAGGACAAAGGCTCTTCCACACTCTGTCAGTGGAAGGCGTAGTATTTTGAACATCTCGCCTACAAGCTGACATTTCTACTGTCCGAAGCTTTGACTTTGTATCGTAAACATGATGTATTTCCAAGAAAATGTACGGGATGTGTGGCGGGGCTTGTCTGATAATTAGGAAAGATCATCAGAAGTCTTCATTTCACCCCAAGGCGACCCTGGCTCACACTCCAGTGTGCTGGTTTGGTTTGGTTTTTAACCAAAATAGGAAGAATGACCCTGCCCCTACCCAACTAAGCAGCAAGCTCAACTGGGGTGGACCAAGATGGTCAACTTCCCCAGTCCTGGTGAGGTCATGGAGGGAAGCATGGAAGAGATAGTCTAAAATTAGCATTTTGAAGTCTTTCTCTTGTCTCCCCCCCCCATTCAGTGCCTCCCTCCCACTCTCCTCCCCTCCCCCATGTGGCTGAGGAGTGGATATGCTCAGGGTGATAGGGTTAGAGAAGGACCTACAGAGGAGGAGAGACCTAGAACATCCAAAACATCCGACTCCTAAGGATTCGGTTTTGTCACAGTGCCTCTGTCTGTTCCGTACATAGCCTGCATGGCAGTCACACAAGGAGAGGGCAGTCACGCAAGGAGAGTCTTTCTGCCCGTGTCCTGGTTCCTGCCCACACCACATGTCTTTCTCCCTGCTGGGTCTGTGTCCTCCAGACAGCAGTGACAGTGAACTGGAGTTGTCTACAGTGCGCCATCAGCCAGAGGGCTTGGACCAGCTGCAGGCCCAGACCAAGTTCACCAAGAAGGAGCTGCAGTCCCTCTACCGAGGCTTCAAGAATGTGAGTCCCCATGAGAGTCTCTGGAGAGAGCCCGACCCACCTTCCTGTCTGCAGCTACCCAGAAAATCTAGAGATTTCTCCAGAGTCTAGTAAATACTCTAGGGGGTCTTTTGTGGAAGAGGAATTTGGGGATGGAAGGGGTAGGGGGTAGGGGACAGTCATCATGAATATTGTGAAAGCCGCCACGCTCTTCTGTCAGAGCCTGTCTACCTGCCCTACAAATGGTTTCCCTAGCCCAGGGCTCAGAGGGGCACAACTGTGCCTCAAGCATTGGAGAGAGGTCAGCCCTGTGGAGTCAGGTGTGGAGCCAGGAATAGCCAAGGCCACTGAGAGGTTTGACTTCCCACTGCAGGAGTGTCCCACGGGCCTGGTGGATGAAGATACCTTCAAACTCATCTACTCACAGTTCTTCCCGCAAGGAGGTAAGTCTAAAGCCAGACCTTCCCCACTCTTCCCAAACCCTGACTACACCCCTTTTCTGGGGTGAGGGCCCTATGACCGTGCCTACCTTCCTAGCCACACCACTTCCTTTTTTGGAGGGCATGACGATGCCTCTGACCTTCTAGAGGGGAACTCCCACGGGCCTGAAGCTCTGGGCAGGACTGCGTGAGTCTTCCAGGGAGCCTCCCCAACTCCAGCCTTGCTCTTCCCTCCCCCAGATGCCACCACTTATGCACACTTTCTCTTCAATGCCTTCGACGCTGACGGGAACGGGGCCATCCACTTTGAGGTAGGTCCCTGCTGACCCGTAGGTCCTGCCCCTGTGGTCTTCAGAGTTGTCTCCTCACCCCAGGGCCGACTTCTCAGGGTTGAGAGAGTCAGACCTGATCCTGGTTAGCACCTCCCGCATGTCACTCAGGACACAAGCGCACTGCTGACGCTTGGCTCGCAAGGCTCGGGGTTCAAACGCCCAGTCTCGGTAGAGACTGTGGGCTTGCATTCAACCCAGCCAGCCAGGGAAGCTGCCGACATAACTCTCAGCTAGCAGTGGCCCAACGAGGATCTACCTTGTAAAAAGAAGTCAAGGACTGTGAAAAGGTTATTTATCCTGTGACTGGGGATGGGGCAAGTGTGTGAAGGTCAGAGGGCAGCTTGCAGGACTCAGTTCTCTTCAACCACGTGGTGCAGGGGATTGAACCCAAGTTGTCAGGCTGGGTGGCAATATCGTTAACCTCTCACCAGCCCTTGTTTTTGTTGTGTTGAGACCAGATCTCTCTCTCTCTCTCCATATATATATTTGTGTGTATCTATGGATCTACGGATCAAGGCTTAATAGTAAGGTTTCTTTGGTCCCTAAACTTATTACTGTGCAAACAGGTCAGAAACACCCAGAAAACATGTTAAGTAGGCTTGAGGCTCCCGGGCTGTCACCCCAGCAAGGTACCATGGTGAAGGCCGGTGTTGCTCAGGGTGAGAAAGGAGAAGCCAGCCACCCCTGCCTCGCTCCAGACAGCCTGGGCTCCCCCTGGGCAGTGGTACATGGGTTCCTCCCAGGCCTGGCCACACACGGTCATTTGAGACAGGCCCCATCTGTGGAGCGCAAGCCCCTAAAAATAGCTGCAGGAGAAAAGCTGAAACCTCTTCAGAGAGGACCTCACTCAGAGCTAGCCTGATCGATAAGTGGCCCAGCTCGGTTTCCAAGGCCAAGGGCGGCCAACAGGAAAGCGGTCTAGCGAGCACACGGCTCAGAAAGGCCACGGACAGCCAGGCGGGGTAATAATAACTCGTCAATAATGCCACCGGGTTATTTTTACACAGCACCAGCCACACTGATACACTGATGGGCCTGGGAGCCCGGGCTTGCTTCTGTGACCACAGCCCGCCACCCCAACCAGAAGGGCCATCTCTTCTCTAGACACACAGTGTGGTTACCGCTTACGTTCATTTAACACGTGAAACACCAGAGTCAGTGCACACAGAACAGACGTTGAGCACTGGGAGGTGGCCGGGAACTGTGAGGCCTCCCCAGGCTTCCCCTGGGACCAGTTCCTGGGTTCTCTGCCCCCCCCCCCCGGGTCCACAGAGACTTCTTGGAGAAGCATAGAAAGGAATCTAGTGAGGGGTGCTCAGCCATGACCACGTGGGACCCTTCGGTCAGTTTCCAAGGACCCCTTTGTGCGTCTATGGACCAGCAAGATCAGGTGCCCACCCCCTTCTGTGACTGTCACTTGTTGGCCTCGTGGAACCTTTCCTTATGACGTAGAGAGGGGTTTGGGGTAGGTAATGTGTTGGGAAGCAAGTTATGTCTGTGGCTGAAATGGCACCTTCTCAGGTCACCCAGCACTGACAGCTTACAGAGTCTTTCTTCCACATGCTTCTCTCTGTGTGAAATGAATCCCTCTGGCTTCCGCTCCCTGAGGAACTTCGTTGTGGGTTCTGTTCTGGGAAGCTTGCTGCAGGAAGGGAGGGGTGCAACTCAGCACCAAGCCAGGAAAAAAAAAATTACGACTTCCCACCCCTTGACAACACGAGAATCGCATCGACAAAAACCAGTCAAACTATCGGAGCCCAGCCCAGCCGAGCGGACGGAACATGGATGAGTCTGCCCAGTCCATGCCACCAAGGCCCTTTCTAATTCAGCTAGCTCACCCTACCCGAGGGGCGCAGTGCTTTCCACGAACTTCAGGAACTGTGGGTACCTCCTGGGTACCTAGCTCGGAAGTGGCTTGGGCGAGCTACTCGTTTGGAGAGTGTGGCCACTTACTGTTCCCCTAACCCTAACCCTATAATGGCTTCTGTGTTGTGGACCAAATTGGCCTCCCTAGCATGGTGTGGACACAGCCATCACAGATTGGCCTGCAGCCATCAGTCGCCCCTAGCTCTCACCAGCCTCCTTGTGCTCATCCTTGGAATCTTGACTTGGAAAACAGGACATGCCCTGGGCACCTGCAGTTAAGACCCATTGATGGTCACACGTGAAATTGTGCCGCTGTCCTTGACAAATGAGAGCCTCCGGTGGCCATGCAGGGACAGACAGTCCTCTTGTTAGCTGTGAGCTGTGTGGCTGAATGCAAGGCTTCCGGACTATAGGAGGGTGCTCTCGCCCTCTTGTGGTCTACTTGAGAAACTGCACGTTCAAACTAGACCCCACACCTCTCCGCCTCCCACAGAAAAAGCCTGAGGGATGGGCAGGGAGGAGGTGGATTGTCACGACTTCAAGGATGACTTTGAAGCTTCCTTGCTTGGGTAAATCACATGGACACTTTAGCGATCATTTCCCAAGCTTAAGAATGTAAGAAGAAATATCACCTTGTTTTTCCTTTGAAATGTTTTCATGACTTCCAAGATCAGTAGACTGGCAGGACAGATTTTTGGAAAACCAGGGGATCCCTACACCAAAGTTTTAGGCTCCAAGTCTCCAAGTCGTGTTTCCATGACTCTTCTGGCCCGTCCTGTTTAGATTTGCTGTCTTGAGCCTCCCTGAACACATACCTTTTTCCATCCTCTTGCCAGCTGACACAAGAGTGTAATATGACTCAGTGAGTGATCCCCAGTTTCACAGGGCCCCCTTAGACCTTCATCTTTCCCTTAGCCTCTCCTCCCACCCCACTCCAACCTCCTGTCAAGTCCCCTAGACTGAGGGACACCTTAGCTTCCCCTTCCTGGCTCTGCTCTCTTTTCAAGGGTGCATCTTGCTGCATCTCCTTGCAGAGAGTAAGTGGGAAGTGACTTTTGAGCCTCTGGTATCCAGATGTCACCTTTAGCTCGCCCTCTCTCCTGCATGTTGCATGGACTAGAGCTTTTAAGGAGGCTGTTTCTCAGGCCTCGTCCCTGCAGGGCTGCTGTTCAACAGATGATTCTGATCAGGTGTGTGGGATCTTATTGACAAGGATGGATGACTGATGGATGGATGATTGATATTGATTGGTTTTCCCAGGTGGCTTCGTGTTTCTCTCTGGAAACGCTCTCTTGGCAGCCAGTTTTGCTAAGCCTCACCAGGACCTGTGCCCATGGGTTCAGCTGTAGCTGATCTCACACACTGTGCCAGTCACAGGGTGGGGGTGGGGCCTGGGAACTTAGATGGGCCTTTAGGGAAATCTTTCTTAATTTCTCTGACTCACTTCGCTGCATTTTCTCTGGTTCTGCCTGAAGTTTCTAACCTGGCACTGTTCCTGAAAGACCTCTCTCTCTCTTTTTCTCCCCCCCCATCTCTCTGTGCATTTTCAGGAAGACCCCACTAGCTCCCCCAAACCTTCTTTCATTTTTGATTCCTAGCAACACAGTGAGCTCTTTCTGGCCTCAGATTATTTGGATTATTTTTCTCTCTTCTCTTTTAAACAGTGTCCTATTTTTGTTGTAAGGCATGCCAGGTTCTAACCTCAGGGTCTCCTTGTTTTTATGTTCCCTCCCTTCTGGGCTGTTCTGTTCCTTCCAGATTGCTTTTCTGTTTCCCATGGTCCCTCCTTCTCATGACACAGGCTTCCTGGGAGTAGGAACCGAGTGCTTTGAGGATCTGCTCTGTTCTGCAGCCTCTTTTGAACTTGTTCAGGTCATCCTCTTCCTCTCAGAATAGCCACAGAGCATCCTGTCAGGGGACAGGGCCTGCCTCTCACACCTTCCCGGAGGTGAGGGGAGACCTTGTTTTCCTCCAGCTGCTTTGATTAACAGCTGGAATCCTCACACCACAACTGTGTGACCAGGTCACATCTGGTCATGTTATCTGTCACAGCCCATAGGTGACAGTCGCCCACAGGTTTGACTTTGAACACTGTGCGCTTAGCTTGTTAAGCTGAAAGCATTCGAGGACTTTGGACGAGTAGGTGCTTAGTGGACTGAAAGAGAACACACCCCTTTACTGAAAGAGCACCCCCAACCAGCAGAAACGCATGAAATAAGCACAAGACATTAAACTAACAGTTGAGTCTTTTTTTTCTTGACTCAGTATTGACTAACACACACACACACACACACACACACACACACACACACACACACACACCACTTGAATAGACACATCTGTGGAGAAGAACCCGCATTTGAAGGAGTGTGACTTTCAATGGTACTCATGTGGTGGGCTGCAGAGGGAACCGCAGCCATGGCTGCTGTTCCTCACCCTCTCTCTCTCTCCTCTGCAGGACTTTGTGGTCGGGCTCTCCATACTGCTCCGGGGGACGGTCCATGAGAAGCTCAAGTGGGCTTTCAATCTCTATGACATTAACAAGGATGGTTACATCACCAAAGAGGTACGGGGTTGGCAGGCCTGCCTGTCCCCCACCCCCACCCCCCGACACTGCTAACCTGGTGATTCTCAGTCCTGCCTTGCAGCCTCCACATAATCCCCCAGATGGTTGGTTTGGCCCAAGTGTTGTTTGTTTGTTGGTTTGTTTGTTTTTTTACCTAAAACAGTCACCATAGCTTCTTCTTTTGGAGAAAGGTACATAAACCCAGTTCCTCTTGGGAGTCATTGAATAGGCTGAGGAGCCAGCGTTCCTCCCTAGGCCCCTCAGACTCGCTCACCCTGGAAGTAACACTCGCGCAACCCTCTGTCCCTACAGGAGATGCTGGCTATCATGAAGTCCATCTACGATATGATGGGCCGCCACACCTACCCCATCCTGCGGGAGGATGCACCCCTGGAGCATGTGGAGAGGTTCTTCCAGGTGTGTGAGCCCTGGCCTCCTCCGGGGAGAGGGGGGACAGCCCGAGTGAGCCTTCAGCCCAGGCCAGTGAGGAGACACAGCTAGGCTCCCGCCCTAGCTGATGGTCAGAGTCCCTTGAGGGGTGAATGAAACGCAGGCCCGTCCCAGTGAACCTCATCTGAAAAAGAAAGTATTCTGAGCATCTAGGTGCAGACACAGCCAACGGTTTTACCTGTGTCATCCCATGCCTCGTTAGCATGGGCTTCTGTCCCAAAGGGGAGGGATTAGATAGGCACTGGGAAGCTAGGCTAAGGTTAACTATCAGGGAGCCCACTAAACCACGTGAGGAGATGCCAAGGGCAAAGTTGGCTGGGAAGGGTAAGAAACAGAGGGACCAGTTGAATAGGAGGAAGGTCCCCACCTCCACCTCAACAGTGTCTTCAGGCTAGAGCAGGGGAAAGGCCCGAAGAGAAACAGGCTCACCTTGGTATGGCTTGGGTTGCAGAAAATGGACAGGAACCAGGATGGAGTGGTGACCATCGATGAGTTTCTAGAGACTTGTCAGAAGGTAGGTGGCGTTAGAGGGCTGGACCTGGGTCCTCTGTGGTGTCTCTGTCTTTCTGTCTCTGTCCTTCTCTGTCTCTGTCACTATGTGTGTGTGTTCAGCTTCCCATCTTCGTTTCTGTTCCCCTCTGTCCCTCCACACACACAGGGTTCTGTTTCAAGGCATATGAAGGATGTCGTTAGCTGTCCTCAGGTCCCACTTACTGGGAAGCTATCATCTTTCCTGAGTCCATCTCCTCGATGTCCCTGAACTTGCCTTCTCCCTCCTTCACCCAGTCCCCACCATCAGACTGTGTCTCAGCTCTGCTCATGATCTCTCCAGGGAGCAGACATGGGGTCAGCAGGAGGGTGATTACCTCAGTGTTGTTCCCCACAGACAGAATCACAGTAGGGGAAAAGGGCCCAGCGCTTTCCCGGCACTGCTGCTGGGAACTGTCCTCTCCTCTCAGAGTTCATGGGGACAGGAACATACTCCGCTGCCTCCTGCCTCACGATCACTCCTGCTCTCTGACCCGACTTGCAGCCCAGAGGATTTGGGGCATCGGTGATAACCAGACCCTGCCGTCTATCCATAAGGATGACAGGCTGCACCCTGCCACTTGGGTCTGGGGCTAGTTACTCCCCACTACACACCTCCACTCCTCAGTACCCCATCTTCTCAGTGAGACAGTCTCTGGCGGGAATCTGGAGCTAGTCAGAATTGCCCCCAGCTCCTGACCAGCCTCTCATTTCTTCATGCAGGATGAGAACATCATGAGCTCCATGCAGCTGTTTGAGAACGTCATCTAGGACGTGTGGGAGAGGACCCTGGGTGGCCATTGCTTTCCAGCCTGGAGAAGCCTCGATCCTGCCAGGAGCAGCCTCTATGAGAAACATTTTTTTAAATATGTTTGCAGAAAAGTGAGCAGTTTACTTCCAACACACACACACACACACACACACACACACACACACACACACACACGGTTCCACTAGCTTGGCAAAGGAAGTGGCACCCAGGAGGCACCCCCAGCTATTCCCAGGTCAATAGATGGGGCCGCCTCTGGGGTGCCCAGCCCTAGCTAGATGTTACCCATGAGAGCTCAGAGCCCAAGAGGGCCTGGTCCCTAGTGTCTTTTCTACCATTTGGGAGACCAGGATACTCTCTGCCCATGGACCTATCCCCCTAGGAAGCTCCCAGAAACCCTGCAGGGGCTAAGAGAAAAGAGTTCTGAGTAGGGGGGAAATGGCGATGGAAGCTGAGCCTGCAGCTTGATGCTAGTGCTTAGCTGGGGTCCTGGAACCCCAGTACCAGGCCACCTATTGTGGGGTGAGATCAGACAGTGAGGGCCTACTAGGCTATGACCTCCTTTAAGTGCAGGGCAGGATTAAGGTTTTTGGAGAAATTGAGGGAACAATTTGTCCATACCACTGGGTGAAGACAACCGGCCAATGGGAAGGTGAGGGGTGGGGCTCTCCTAACTCCTAGGACGAGGCTGGCCCCTCCAAGGTCCTCTTTGGTTCCAGGGGTGGGGGTTTACCTGGCTCAGGGACCAAGCACCAGGGAGCTGGACTGTACTGGGAGGGGCCTGATAGGGGGCATTCCCCTCTTCTTCCCTGGCCACTTGCCACCCAGTTCCTTGGCACAGTGGATCGGCCAAACCTCTGTGGCTGCTCTTGAACAGGCTTATCCCACCCACACAAAAAGCACAAACACCCTAGCAGCTCAGGCCATGCCCACAAGGGAAAGCTGGGGCTCCCTGGGTCGGGGGAGGCTGGGTCCCCACAGCCCTGACTCAGTGGCCCAAGGAAGATGCTCAGGAGTCCATCCTGTGCGTCAGAACCTTGGGGTCTCACAGCTCTTTCCTAGCCCAGCTCACCAATATTCTAAAGCACAAAACCTGAGGACTGTGCTTGCTGGAACTAGCCGTGAGGCCTGGGGACCTGTGACCAGGCGACAAATCAACACACCCTCAGAGAAGAGCTGGCTCCTGCCTGCCCCAGGACTCCCCAAGAAGGGACTGTGTCCTAGGCAGCATGTTCCCTGGAGGAACATTCCCACAAAATACATTCCATCAACCGCAGCCCAGTCTCTGCTCAGGCCCAGCTCTGGGAATCCCTGGGTGCTCCCCAGGTCCACTTCAGGATAAGGAAGGTCCTTAGAGGAGAGGCAAAGTGACCCCCCCTCTCAGGGCTGCACCGATCCTATCTCCATCCTGACTGGGGGGGGGAGGCTTTACCCCATCTAGAGACCATCAGCTTTCCCTGGCTCAGGGACCTCCCCTCCACTAGCCTGGCCCTTCCCACCAGGGTCCATGTGTATGTGAGAAGCCAAGGCCTACCACCCTAACCTGCTCCACCCTTTAGCCTCTGGCTGCACGCCCAAGCAGGAGGAGTCTGTCTCTCTTGCAGGGACACAGACTGGCCGCATGTCTGCATGGCGGAAGCGTCTCCCTTGGGTGCAGCCCGGGAGGGTGGTTCCTGTCTCAGTGCCCACCAATATTCAGTCCTATATATTTTAATAAAATAAACTCGACAAAGGAGACGAACTCTCTTCGGCTTTATCTGGGTGGCCAGTCAGCCACTCCCTCCCGGCTGCTGTTAGGCACGGTTCCTGCCCAGCGGCTTGCTGGTGAACGATGACAGATGGCTTTGAGAAGGAAATGCCCAGACACTCTCAGGCTCCCAGTGTGACATCACCGAGGGGAAAAAAAAATGGTATACACCGTGTGCCCTGGGGACCTTCAGTAGATGCTTCGGCGCTGGAGCCATGAGCACACAAGACTGTAGGACACAGAGGCTTTCTGAGATGTCATTTATATTTCATCACCAGATCATTTTTCTTCCCAATTCCAGAAAGTCACTTCTGGGCATCCTTTGGCAAGAGAAAGACAGGTCATGTGGAACAGGAAGCAGAAAGGAGATGGCGGTGGACCTTAGCTGGAAGCATGCTTACCTGACATTCAGAGAGCCCGGAGTCGGATCCCTAGCACCACATGAACTCCCAGCACTGGGGAGGTAGAGGCAGAGGATCAAGGTCATCCTCATGGTCAGTTTGTGTCCAGCCTGGGCTACGTGAGACTTTGTATATGTATATGCGTTTGTAGCACAGCAGAGACAAGGCTCACTTCTACCCAGGGAGTTGTTGGAGGGTGATGAGCAGGTGGTTGTTTTGGCTGAACAGATAGATGCTTGGAGCAGGGAGGTGATGGTGGGGGGGGGGATGGTAGCGTGTAAGTGGCCCCACTGGACAGCCGTTGGAAGGGGGTGAGGACTATGAGGCAATCCCAGGGGGTCCTGAGGCAGCTTTAAGCACACAGGGCAGCCAGTAGCACCCCATGCTCCACCATGACAGTCGTTGAGGACAAAGGCTATGGAGCCGGTTGGCTGTATGACCCACACAAGTCACACATTCTCAGTGTTTCACTTCCTCCCTTGTGAGACAGGCAGGGGTGGGGGGGAGGGGCTTACTACAGAGCATGCATCCTGACAGTGGGTCAAGCTTTTCTGTACACCAGAAAACAGGGCCTCCAAAGGCTGCTTCCAGGGAACATGGCTTTCTCTGCCTCTGCCCTCTGCTGGGAGGGCATTCCTGCTCCCATAGGCTCTTCATCTCTGGAGGACACACTCCCCAGAGGAACCGGCTACTCTAAGAACCTCCTTCTGAGTGTGTTAACTCGCACATGTAATCTCAGCCCCTAGGATGCTGAGGCCAGAGGATTGATCCCAGAGTTTGAGGACAGTCTGGACTATGCTGACTCCCAGGTCAGCCTGGGCTAGACAATGAGACCTATCTCAAACAGACAAAGACAGCCCTTCCTGCTCAGAGGGGCTGTGCTCTTACCGGCCTATGGATTGGCTGCTCCTTGAGACAAGTGTCAGAGCTGATCCAACCAGCTCTGGGCAGCATGCCCCACTCACTGACCAGCATAGTGTGGACAAGAAGGTGGAATGTGTGGGCTACTAAGGGAGATCTTCTTGCCCCTACAAGGCTACCCTGAAAGTAGAAAGGATAATGTCTCCACAGGATCCCAGTACCTCCTTAACATGGTACCTTGCCTCCAAAGGCCTTTGGCATCTAGGGAATAGGTCCCACACTTCCACTCTGGAACTTCTGACTCACCCTGCGTATAATGTCACTGAACCTCAATCGTTAACTAGAAAAAAAGATCCTTGATTCACACTGCTTTGAAATTGAGGGTTGACTGTTTGGAAACAGGGTTTCACTGTGTAGCTCAGGCTGGCCTCCCCTCCAGTGGCCTCTTAAGGGATGTATTTGTCCCCTAGCAGGGACTGGCCTGCTGAGGTGGGGCAGCAGTCCACACCAGTCAGGCCAGAGCCAGGGATCTAATGTCCATACGTGCCACTCCTTGTACTACCCACCTTCCATCTGGTCAAAACAGAAAGAGGCTGAGGGCCTGACCTGCCTCCTTCCTCCCACCACGGCCTGTGACGTAGGCCTCTTCTTACCGTGATAGCACAGCATGAGGAAGTGATGTCTCATGTCTTTCCCCATGGCGCTCAGCCATACAGCCTCCCAAAGAAATGGCAAGTCTGCCCTTTAGAGGATTCTCCTGGTGATCCTTCAATGACCAGCAATCTGTTTGCACCTCCTAATGTTGTGTCCCCCTTTGACCACCAGGGGGAGACAGCGCCATTTCTCTTTTCATCTTCTCCGACACAAGGTCCCAGGAGAAGACACGGAAAGGAAACTATCTGTCATTTCCTGCAAAGTCCCAGAGACATGTTCCTATTTCTGCCTCATCCTCCTTGGGGTTTAAAAACTAAAAAGCACCAGGCATGGAGTGGATGGAGAAATAATTCCATGAATGCATCCACAGTAAACCAAATTGGGAGTTGGGGAAAGGGGGCGCATAGCTCCTATTTTATTAGTCAAGACACGGAGAACTCCTCACACACATAACCACTTGGCCTTTTTTAATCTTGAGGGGAAACCATCTTGAGAACTCCCCTCATACCTGCCGGCTGGGCCCCTATGAGCTCCAGGAGGCAGGAGAAGGCAGTGGTCTGTGAGGACCCTAGGAAGGAGTGTTGAAGAGCAGAGAGGCGGTCTCTCACTGGCCTGAACTTCAGAGCGCCGGCACCCTCCACCTGGGAGGCAGAGCTCTTTCCGCACTCAGGACTCCTGAGTCTGACCTTCCTTCGGTGACCTGGAGCCTTCAGGATCAGCAGCCCCAGCCTCGGTCCTGGCCACCCTCCGAAGCTGCGCAGCCGCAGAGCTGTTTGCAGGCCTGCGGGCTCTTCCAGCGTCTGCTCGCTGCTGCTCGCTCTGCCTGGGCTTCTGCCTCCTTCCTGCCCAGCTCCTCCTTCCCTGCCCGTCCAGCTGCAGTTCCCAAGTGTAAATTAAGGGGGACGCTGAGCTACTCTCTCAGACCCCATCCATACAGCCTCGTAGCATAAGGAAACCCGGTTAAAAGGTGCTGCGATCTCTGCTGCCACCAGAAGGCGGGGAGGAGGTCCAAGGCTATGGTTCCGATGACCCCAGCACTCGCATAAAAAGCTGTTCCGCCAGCACGTCCATGCTTGGACTTTGAATTATATAACAGTAGCTTCAGAGGGGAAAGGGGCACATCTTAAACAAGACGCAAGACTGTCCCAAATAATCCTTGTCTTCCACCTTGTCTTGTAATGGAGCCTGAGTTGCAGTTTGTTTGTTTTAAGATTTATTTATTTATTACTCATACAGTGTTAGGCCCAACAAGAGCCTAAATATAAGAAGGTATGAAGAGAACTCAGGAAACTAATCATCCATCGATGCAAAAAAAAAAAACAAAACAAAACAAAAAACAAAAAAACGCAAGAGGTTACTCTTGACCATTGCGCAATGGGGTCACCCCTGCTGGTCAGCTAGGAGTGGCACCGGGAGACAAAGACCTTAGGTTTTTAAAAGGCAGAAGG